CAATCGCGACGCGGGGCTACGAGTATGTAAATTGACTGTACAGAACAGTTACCATAGCCGAAACCATTTTAAGGCAGCCCCTCTCCCCCAGGGGTGCTAGTGGTGTCTTACCCCCCCCCCCAGGTATTTGTTTCCAGAGAGTAAGTCATCTATGTACCAAGTTTGATTGAAATTCCTCGAGGCATTCCAGAGTTATGCTGAAACATACATATATATAAAATAGAGAAGCTAGAAGAAGCTAGAAGAAGATAGGAGATAGCAGAAAGATAGAAGATAGGAGGAGGAGGAGGAGGGATTAAGATCTTGGTCTAATACACAAGATCTCTCAGAGAACAATTATTAGGGGACTGGAGGCTAAAACATATAAATAACAGTTGCTGGAATGTCTAGTTTAATGAAAAGAAGGACTAGGGGAGACGTGATAGCAACGTTCCAATGTCTCAGGGGCTGCCACAAAGAAGAGGGAGTCAAGTTATTCTCCAAAGCACCTGAGAGCAGGACAAGAAGCAATGGGTGAAAACTAATCAGGGAGAGAAGCAACTTCGAACCAAGGCAAAATTTCCTGGCAGTTAGAACAATAAACCAGTGGAACAAGTTGCCTCCAGAAGTTGTGAATTCTCCAACACTGGAAGTTTTTAAAAAGATGTTGGATAACCATTTGTCTGAAGTGGTATAGGGTTTCCTGCTTAAGCAGGGGCTTGGACTAGAAGACCTCCAAGGTCCCTTCCAACTCTGTTATTCTATCCTATTCTAACAAAATTCTAGCCTACATCCTGCATGAGACTAGGTCTAGTCTTAATAAAAATAAAGAAAAAAACCTGGTTACTCGTGAAAACAAAACAAGGCATCCCTAGCTCAACCCACTAAAAACATAACTGTAAAAGACAGAGCAGAAATAAAAGTTAAAATAAGCAAAAAAATAGTAAGAGAACACCTGTCTGATCTTGATGAAAACAAATCACTGGGGCCTGATGGATTACAGTTTTAAAGGAGCTGGCAGAGGTCATCTCAGAACCATTGCACCCTATCTTTCAAAAATCCTGGATTGTTATTGCAATCCTAAGTTGTATTAACATAGGGATACAGTCAAGATCAAGGGAAGTACTAATACCACTCTTAAGCCTTAGTAAGACCACACCTAGAGTACTGCATCCAGTTTTTGTCACCACATTATAAAAAAGATGTTGAGACTCTAGAAAAAGTACAGAGAAGAGCAACAAGGATGATTAGGGGACTGGAGGCTAAAACATACAATGAACGGTTGCAGGAACTGGGCATGGCTAGTCTAGTAAAGAGAAGGATCAGGGGAGACATGATAAAGGTCTTCCAATATTTGAGGGGCTGCCACAGGGAGGAAGGGGTCAAGCTACTTTCTAAAGCTCCTATAGGCCAGGCAAGGAATAATGGATGGAAACTGAACAAGGAGAGATTTAACCTGGAAATATGGAGAAACTTTCTGACAGTGAGAACAATCAACCAATGGAACAGCTTGCCCTCGGAAGTTGTGAGAGCGCCATCAATTGAGACTTTCAAGAAGAGATTGGACTGCCTTTTGTCAGAAATGGTGTAGGGTCTCCCGCTTGGGCCGGGAGTTGGACTAGATGACCTACAAGGTCCCTTCCAACTCTGATTATCTGTATCCCAACAACACCATTCCAAACAGCATGACCCTTTGTTTGCATACATGGATAAAAAGAACAAGTGATTCTTTCGGCTCGAGGCCCGGGCCAAATGGCCTCTTGCCCTCACCCCTCCCGCGCATTCAGATATACTGGGGTTACTGAACAGTAATTTGCACACACATCTCCAGTACAGATGCTTTTTTACCCCCTCAGTGACATTATCCTTAACGGCACCAGGTCATGTAAAAAAAAAAAAGGCACAACACCGCTGCTGAGTTGAAACCGGTTTCATAGGAGAATTGCGCTACCAAACGACACGGCTTTCCTCCCATCCGCGGGAAGATAGCTTCCGGAAAGCAAAGCGGGAATGTGTCCCAGCTGGAGCAGGCGGCGCTGGAAAGCGTCCAACCAATGAGATGCGGCCAACCGAAAGAGGAGGTCTCAGGCACGGGCGGTGGGCGGACCTCTGGCTGATGAAATCCGGCTCAGTCTTACAGAAGGAGTAGCCGGGTGGGTTTGTGATTGGTTTCCGCGTTGTGCTTTCCTTTCTCTTGAGCTCGGCCAAAGGGCATGCGGTTCACCTGTCGAGCCTGCTAGTGACTGATCTCTTCTCGCCTGTGAAAGCATATTTTCCTGGTGCAAAATCGGAGTTGAAGTTGAAAGGGTAAGCCAGCGAGGGGATCTTTTTTCAAGGCTGGGCTGTACGGACCCGGGATTTATTAGTTTTCCACCCCTTCTGTTTATGCCCATAATTCCCGCTTTGCCATTCAGGGCTGCAAAACACGTGCAATTCAGGTTCCAACTGTTTTCCCGCTGCCTGGAAAAAAGCCCTCTGCAACGGACTGCTTTCCTGCGGGCCGTCGAGGGGCTCTAGTTTTTATTCACGAACAAAACGGAAGTGACCGTAATTAATCGTTTAAAAGTACGGAGTGCAAACAAAAGAAAACTGCACCTGAAGTTTTGAACATCTGGTTCAATAGGTTTTTAAAAAACGCTACTTTCTAATTATGCCCACTGTCGGTTCTCATTTGTGCAAGATGAAAAAGCAGGAGAATGTAAACTGTTATGTTAGGAGTATGGTTAGCACAACAGGCTAGCTTAAAATTAGCTGCTGGCTAATTTGTGGGTGGTGTCTGAATTCACCCAGTGTAATTGCAAATCCATGCAATTAGTTAGCCAGGAGCGTGGCTGTGTTTGGATGTGCTTTCAAAAGTTCTACAACTCCACGGCTATGTTATCTTTTTTAACATTAAAATCTCTTCCAGATACTGTATTTCATACCTTTGGTGTTTTGCCCTTAGCCAATTTTTTCTTCAAAGCAGAATACAGGTAATCCTCAATTTATGACCACAACTGAGCCCAAAATTTCTGTTGCTAAGTAGGACATTTTAAAGTGAGTTTTGCCCCATTTTATGACCTTTCTTGCCACAGTTGTTAAGTCGTTATTGCAATTGTTAAGTTAGTAACATGGTTGTTAAGTGAATTTCGTTTACTCATTGACTTTGCTTGTCAGAAGGCTGTCTCACATGATTCTGAGATACTGCAACCTTTATAAATATGAATTAGTTGTCAAGCGTCTGGATTTTGATCACCTGACCATGGGACTGTTGCAACAGTCAAAAGTGTGAAAAATGGTCATGCGTCCTTTTTCAGTTGAAAGTTCACTAATGAATGTTGTAAGTTAAGGACTACCTGTGCTTTATAACAGGGGTCGCCAACCTTTTGGACTTCAGGGACCACCAAACTCATAATTTTAAATCCCAGGGATGACTAACCAGTTTTGTGGGCGTGGCCTAATTTGTGGGCGTGGCTTGGTGGTCATGTGACTGGCTGGGCATGGCTTGTATGTAAATATTATATATATTTACATAAATATTGAATTTTTTATAAAAAAGAGCAACTTTTACCCAAGTTAAAAGGCAAAGCAAACAGATTGAGTTGCTCACTGAATCACAGATTCATTCAAAGATCTACCGTGTTTCTCATATAATAAGGCTGGGTCTTAATTCCCCCCCCCCTTGAATCTTTGGGTGGGCGGGTGGCGACGGCTTGGATGTTGACCTCGGCGTTGGTGGGGCACTTCATATCGGGGTCAACGCAGGCAGCACCATATCCGGGTGTGCAACAAAAGTACTTCCTAATGGCAAGCCCCTCCCCCCCATTTTGCAAGTTTTAATATAGGCCTTAATTTGGGGGGAGGGGTTTAATTTCATTTCATGCCTATAAAACATGCTGGGACTTCCTATTGGGGGAGGCCGTATTGTTGGAGAAACAGGGTATCTGTCTGCCATTGGCTTGCTCAGTCTGTCACATAAAATTTGCTAGCAAGCAAACTCACAAAATTAACTCACAACACACCATGTATATAAATATTGAATTTTTATTTAAAAAGAGCAACTTTTACCCAAAATCAGGCAAAGCAGGTAGGCAGATTGAGTTGCTCACAGAATCATTCAGTGATCCATATATCTGCCATCAGATACCTGAGTCTATCATATAAAATTTGCTTGCCGTGAGTCTGCACTGAATAATAGAACCTTCAGTACTAAGGGAGGTTCGCCTCTGCTTAAAAGCAGAGCCAAAGATCTAAAAACTAGCTAGAAAGCAAGAAATCCAACCATTTCCTGCTTCCTAGCTAAACTAAATCTCCTGGCACAGCAGAACAGATGATGGTCGGAAAAAGGAAAAATAGCAATTTAGCAGGCAAGTTTGCCAGGTAAGGAGTGAGTGGGCAGGGAGTGTTCCCATGTGGTCGGCGCAGCCTTGTGTTTCTGCACATCCTGAATTAATTGCTTTGGGGAGTGCTCTGAGGGTGACATTTCTCTGTGGTCCACCAAAATTTTCTCATGGACCACCATTGGGCCACAGCCTACCAGTTGGCGACCGCTGCTTTATAAAAGAGAAGTCTGATTTGAGCCACGGTGGCGCAGTGGTTAGAGTTCAGTACTGCAGGCTACTTCTGCTGGCTGCCGGCTACCTGCAATTTGGCAGTTCGATTCTCACTGGCTCAAGGTTGACTCAGTCTTCCTTCCTTCTGAGGTGGGTAAAATGAGAACCCAGATTGTTGGGGGCAATACTCTGATATTGTAAGCCGCTTAGAGAGGGCTGTAATGCACTGTGAAGTGGTATATAAGTCTAAGTGCTATTGCTTTTGCTCTCTGACCTCACATATTCATCCAGGCAATTTTCTTACCAACTGTATGAAGTTGGCAGTGCTTTGTTTCCAGATACTTTCCTCATTTAACATACATACAGCTCTGGCACTTCCTGGTGGTTTTCCATCTAAATTAATTTAGTCTGACCATAGTTGGCTTCCAGCCCTAATGATAGGTCAGTTGGATGTTGCCACATGCCTATTCATCAGTTCATTCATTAATTCATTTAATTTAATTCAGCCAGAACGACTGTTTGATTAAAGCCAATAATACGATTAGAATACTGATTTCCTTCAGTTTCCATGGGCCTTAGCATTATATAGAAAATTGAAAAATCAATTTTTTACAATAAAACATGCAGGAAGATTGACTAATGTTGATTGATGTGAAGATTTTCATAAGACATTCATAAATTAATGTGAAAGTAGACAAGACACGTGAAGATAGATAAATTTTAGGGCAGGGGGATAAGTGGCTAAGTTTTTGAATGGGAAAACCAAGTCCATGTTCAAAGAAGTGATTGAGAAGTTTTGGGCCAGTTACTTTCTTTTAGCCCAAGCTATCTCACAGTCATAGATGTGTTGTTGTGAGGAGAAAGTTTGTATGTTTCCTTGAACATCATATGTAGGATTTATTTATTATTACTGATCCTTAGTTGTGGTCTACTCTAAGTAGGTAGCTGTTACTTCATTGCCATCAGATTCTACTCTTTATTCATAATTAGGAAGGTAAGGCAGTGATGGCGAACTTTTCCATTCTTGTGTGCCAAAAGTGTGGGTGCGCACATGGGGGGCCCATGCCCCCTGTGCATACACGCATGACCCCCCTGCCACGTGCCTCTGCGCATGTGTGTGCAATCCACCATGCACCACACATTTCTGTACATGCGTGTGCATCTCCTGCACATGTCCCACCCCCCGCACATGCGTGGCAGCTACCCAACGATCAGTTGGCAGGTAGGCAGTGCACACACCTACACAGTGGACCTGCTCTGGAGCAATGGCTCGCGTGCCGGTGGAGATGGCTCTGCGTGCCATTTCCGGCTCGCATGCCATAGGTTCACCATCACAGAGGTAAGGAGTTCTCTTATTTTTTTTCTTGTTTTTTAAAATAATCATCATGACATAATAGATTAAAATTGAAATATTGATGAATTAATGGTTGAGGATGTTTTGTTAAGTAGCTTGACTCAATGTCAAGCGAGATCACACTTGTTTGACAGCATTGCCAAACACGCATGTAGGGAAGTTTCAATTGCAATAGGAAAGTTGCTTAATTGTAATTAAGCTGGAATAATGGGAAAAAATATCAAAATATGCTTATGCCATATTCTGCAGAACTTTTTGGAATTAGGTATGCACAGAAATGAAACAACACAAATTTCTTCTGAAGACCAAACTAATAATAAAAACATCAAAATTGGTATTAATTAATATGTAATTAATGCAAACTAGTTGAAGTACCACAAAATATTTCAGGAATCTCTAATCTTGGCAACTTTAAGACTTGTGGACTTCCATAATTCTTCCCTCAGCCATGCTGTCTGAGGAATTCTGGGAGTTGAAGCCCACAATTCTTAAAGTTCTCAAGTTTGTAGATCCCTGAAATATAGCTTAACTATTTAAAATAAAATATTGAAATTTTGTATGTGATGTGTTTTTTAATGACAAGTTAGGTGCCACATTTATTTTCTTATTTTTTTAAAAAATAAATTTATTAAGTTTCAACTTTTTTTTTAAAAAAAAAAACTTTATACATTATTATTAACATCAAGACATCTTTTGCATTTCCTCACATTTTTCAGTATACATATTTACTTATTCCTTTACCATTGCTAGCATTTTTACCATCCGCTAGCATTGCTAGCATTGCTACCATTTGTTTTCATGGAATGGTGTAAAGATATGGATTTCAGAACATTAAAAAAAAATGATCTTCCTTGTTCAATTTTTTTCTCAGTAGCCTTTATTCATCATCATCACTATGTGTGGCATATGGGCCCTTTTTGGAAGTGATGGATGCCTCTCTGCCCAGTGTCTCTCTGCTATGAAAATAGGCCACAGAGGTCCAGATGCTTTCCGGTTTGAAAATGTCAATGGCTTTACCAACTGCTGCTTTGGCTTCCATCGTCTAGCAATTGTTGATCAGCTATATGGAATGCAGCCTTTAAGGGTGAAAAAATTTCCCTATTTGTGGCTGTGTTACAATGGAGAGATCTACAACTTCAAACAGGTACAAATATGATAAGAACTACATTCTAATGGTTTTGTTAGCATTCCCTACTATCTGGTGTCTGAACAGATTGTTATGCATGTTTAACATGTCTGTATGTTAAGATGTTTTTATAAGCTGGGTTGGAAAAACTGAAAATCAGCATATAAATTCCTTATATTGAAAATGGACTAGTTTTAACACCACACCTTTCTCTTGAATCTAGAAACTTGAGAAAATTGCAAAAATATTGGGCCAATGGATTGGGTAATTCATGGCAAAAAAAAAAATGTAAACAAAGCAAATGTTTGACTAAAAGACTAAAACTTGCCATAGAAAATGTGCAATTTAATATTAAGCATTCAAAAGGATCTCATACTCTTATTAGGGTCCTCTAAAATATATTGATTGATTAGCAAGGACAAACATATTTTTCTATTTTGTCAAGTTACAAATAAATTTGTCATTGTTTATTATTCTCTTCCCTCAAGATTACACTTAAATAACCTAATATTTATTATATTTCTCTCCCCTATATAAGTTCCTAGAATGGCATTTAGTTAAAAGAACAAAGACTATAATAAATTTGAGCATAGAAATAGAAGCCTCCATTAGAGAATGAGGATGTCAGATCCTGACAAATAAGATTGAGGATGTCAAATCCTGAAACAAATAAAATCTAATATTCAGTGATTGAAATGTCTGGAAGAACTTTTTAAAGAACACCTTTCCCCCAAAGATCAAAGCATACAAGTAAAATTCTCCTAGTTGGGCATTCCAGTGTAAAATACTTTTGTTCATAATCATAGGCTCAATTAGCCTCTTATGGTCCCCAGCAGGGTCACTTGTCGTGTGCGAGGGGGAGAAATATCAGGGCTTCAGTCATATGGTTATTCCTGCGATATGCTCTTCTCCCACTGCTCTTTTTGTACAACTAAATGAATCGATATATTTAGAGCCTCCTATTGCAGGTTAAGGGAAATAGTAGATTGTCTAAAAGCTGCAGCATTTCTGACGGTCTTCAGTACCCTATCAATAGAGGGGAACTCTTCAAGCTAATAGATAAACTATGAAAAAAGAAATATGTAGGAAACTGAGATCTGATTTCACTAAAGGGAAGCTTGTATTTTTGTATCCCCCCCCCCCCCCCGCTCTTGTGAACATATAGTTTGGTTTAGGCTGTTGTGTTTATTCTTCTGTATTCTAATATGTATCTCTTTAAATATGTTTCTTTTCTCATAGCTACAGAAACAGTTTGGATTTGAATACCAGACCTTAGTAGATGGAGAGGTCATTCTTCATCTTTATAACAAAGGAGGAATAGAAGAAACTGCCTCTATGCTCGATGGTGTATTTGCATTCGTTTTGCTTGACAGTGCAAATAGAAAGGTGTTTCTGGGGAGAGATACATATGGAGTTAGACCATTGTTTAGGGCCCTAACTGATGATGGCTTCTTGGGTGTTTGCTCTGAAGCAAAAGGTAACTCAAATTCTGTACTTTAATAACTATCCTTTAATAACAGTCTTGAATCAGAACTCCTCAAATAGAGCTACCGTATAAGACACTCCAAAGTATAAGAGGCACCTAGCTTTTGGGAAGGAAAAGAAGGGGGAAAAATCTGCCTCTGCCTCCTAGCATCCATCCGGTATTTATCCCACCCGTTCACCACAGCCCATTTGCTGTCATGGCCTATTTGCTGCCGACCATTCACCGCAGCTTGTTTGCCGTCATGGCCTGTACAGCTGATCGGTGCCTCACCAACCCCCCTCCCCCCACTGCAATATTCTGTGTGTAAGACGCACAAACATTTCCACCCACATTTTAGAGGGGGTGTGTGTCTTATACTCAGAAAAATATTATAAATGGTTACCCTGCTTAATACTGAAAGTGTCATGCCTCATCCCACAAAATCTCTTCTTTAGAATCAACCAGAAACTTCCTAATAGTAAGATGTGACACCTTTCTGCAGAAAGTTAAACCCATGAAAGGAATACAAGACATAGGTTTTATAGTAAAATATTGTATAAATTATTGTGTGATCTTGTTTATTATGAGTTTTGTTTTAGTTTCGGGGTATTTGAAAGAAATGTTAGAAATTAGAAGTCCTTGCTGAACTATAATTTCCATACAGCTTACAAACTTTCAAAAAATTAGTCGAAAGAAATGTCATAAACTTGTGTGAAAATAAGCATAGCAAGAATGCATGCATACATTTAATTAAAACAGACATTACTTTTTAAGGCTTCTATGTCAGCCTACAGTAGAGATGCCCCAACTTTAAGTAAATGATTATTAAAGTTAATTCGGAACCAATTTGGTTTAGTGGTTAAGGCACTTGGCCAGAAACCAAGAGATTGTGAGTTCTAGTCTTGTCTTAGATAAGAAAGCCAGCTGGGTGATTTTGGGACAGTCATTCTCTCTCAGTCTATAGGCAACAAACTAGTTGATTAATTCCTAGATCAATAATCATGATAAAAAACAGACTCTGCATTAATTAAGGTTAATACAGTTCTTAAAACAGTGACATCTTTTTTCTTTGATGTTTTTGCTCCCCTTTCTTAGATGTATATGCAAGAGCACCAAGATCTTATGAAGATTGGTAATTTCTTGAATTTTCTTTCCAATCTTCCATGGTTACAATTTTCACTAGATAAATGTGGAAGGAGAGCTGGACAAAGAATTGGAAAATATACACAACTCTCCTCTGGCTTATAACAATCAGACTTTTTGAATTTCCCCTAGTCAGAGGATATGGAAAGGATCACAGTCTGTTACATTCCCAGGCATGATATTCTTCCGATTAAAATCGGAATTCCGATTTTTTTGGGAATCGCCCCCTCCTTTCCCCCCACCCCTTCTTCTCCTCCTTCCCCTCCCCTCGGAGGCCCCGAGTCAGGAGTTGCTGGCGTGGCTCCGCGCGGCTCCAGTCCCGCGTTGCCTCAGGAAGGGAAAGGCAAAAAGGAAGAGCCGCGGTGGTGCTTTGCAACGGCAGCAGCGGCTCCTGGTTTTGCCTTTCCCTTCCCGAGGCAACGCGGGACTGGAGCCGCGTGGAGCTGCGCCGGCGGTAGCAACTCCTGACAGCCCCAGCCGGATGCCTGAGCGGAGCCCGGGCGGTGCGAGCGGAGGCCACTGAGCGGCAGGAAAAGGGAGCTGGGCCAGCCACAGACCAGCCTCCGTGCAACACGCCGCCGCCCGGCCCCGGCGAGGGAAAGCAGCAGGCGCTCCCCGGGCGCGCGGCGGGGGGTCTCTTGTCCGGCCCCGATTTTTTTCCCAGAGCGGAATATCATGCCTGCATTCCTCGACACATGCATAGTGCAGCTATTGTGACTTGAACTAGGCTTATAACAAATAAATGTTCTTTTATTGTTCACAGTTCACTGTTAAATTGGTATTCTGAAATCTACATGTTTGAAAGTTATTTTGACAGGCCGAGTGTAAAATAACTGCTCAATCTATATGCTATCTTATATTTGTAGGTCTGATCGACTTGAAACACAATATGTCCAGTCCTCTCAAAGTGGAGCCTTTTCTTCCTGGACATTATGAAGTCTTGGACTTAAAGCTAAGTGGGAAAGTTGCATCAGTGGAAGTGGTCAAATTTCACAGCCCTAAAGAGGAACCTTTGCATGCTGCCTACAGTACAGTACAAAATTTGCCGTCAGGTAACAGCATTGTTCAGTTTTGAGGCAGGTTCACGTGTCAGGCAGGTTGTATTCCATTCCAGTGAATATGTGTCTGAGGGGTCTTTGCTGCTTTCCCCAGCTTGGTTGTTTTGTTGCAGACATTTCATTACCCTAACTAGGTAATCATATCTACTTTGGGTAATGAAACATCTGTAGAGAAACAATCAAGCTCAGAAAGCACCCCCATTTCAACCCTTAGCTACAATTATTCTCCTTTATTGGAATATGTGTCTTCCTGTCAGAGTATTTCATGCTCTTGGAGCAGGGGAAACTTTTGTCATGTTTGGAAGACATCAATCAGAAGGGATGGATTAAGTCTACTCAGGAGAGGGTATTTCAGTCACTTTCTGCTCCACCCTTCTCCACCCCTGTATTTCTGGGGAGGAGCCAGATATTTCTTCTGATCTAATATTGATTGGTGAGCTCTAGAATTTCGGCCAAGAACCAACTTCATTGGTTATTTCTAACTTTATTGCAAGGAGTGATAATAAGAGCGGCAGTGGCGCAGTGGTTAGAATGCAGTACTGCAGGCTACTTCTGCTGATCACTGGCTGCCAGCAGTTTGGCAGTTCGAATCTCACCAGGATCAAGGTTGACTTAGCCTTCCATCCATCCGAAGTTGGTAAAATGAGGACCCAGATTGTTGTGGGCAATATGCTGACTCTAAACCGCTTGGAGAGGGCTGTAAAGCAGGGGTCCCCAACCGCCGGTCCGCGGACCGGTACCGGGCCGCGGAACAAGCCTTACCGGGCCGCTGGTTGCTGGGCGCCGCCATTTTTTTTGACGAAAAATCACTTCCGGTGACGTCACCGGAAGTGATTTTTCGTCAAAAAAAGATGGCGGCGCCCAGCTGACGCCGGAACCGGGCCGCGGCGCCCAGCTGACGCCGGAACCGGGCCGCGGCGTCGAAAAGGTTGGGGATCCCTGCTGTAAAGCACTGTGAAACGGTATATAAGTCTAAATGGTATTGCTATCTTGAAGTTTTGTAAGCGGTTAATAGAAAATGGATTAGTACTTTGTCCTCCCTTTTGATCTATTTTAATGGAACTTCTATTTTCCTGTTAGGTTTTGATGTTGAAACTGTGAAAAGCAACATTCGACTTTTGTTTGAAAATGCTGTTAGAAAACGTTTGATGTCCCATAGAAGAATTGGTTGTCTCTTATCAGGTAAAATAACAACAACAGATCCTTTAACATAACATATGGAGAGGCAGCTTTGTGTAGTGGTTAAAAGTATTCAGATTAGAAAATGAGAGACTTATGAATTCTAGTCCCATGTCAGACATGAAGCCAGTTGAATGACTTTGCGCCAGATATATATTCCCAGCTATAGGAAGGAATCAGTGGCATATCACTTCTAAAAATGTTGCCAAGGAAAATACATGGACCTGGCAATATTAAGTCAATGCTGACTTGATGGCACAAATTTCTTTAATGTATCTTATGTAGCTGCCCTGTATTTGCAGTATAGGTAGTCCTCAACTTATGACCACAACTGAGCCCAAAATGTATCTTGCTAAGTGAGAAATTTGTTAAGTGAGTTTTGTTAAATAAATCACTGCAGTTGTTAAATTAGTAAAATAGTTTCCTTATTGACTTTGCTTGTCGGAAGGTTTCAAAAGGTCATCACATAATGTCAAGACATTCCAACCATCGTAACTGAGTCAGTTGTCAAGCAGCCGAATGTCAATCACATGACCATGGAAATCTGTAATGGTCAAAATTGTGAAAAATGGTCATAAATCACTGTTTTCAATGCTGTTATAACTTTGAACGGTCAATAAGTGTACTCAGTTGTGAAAAATGGTCGAGGACTACCTCGATTTTCATTCTGTTAGCAACAGTATATTTAGGAAATGTTTAATAGCTACTGCTTTTACATATTTTACAGAGTCAACTGTATAATAATAGATATACATTTTCCATAGCAATAAAGAGCCTATTTTCTATCTTGATATCAATTGATAAATCTCTAGTCGGTGCTTTTTTTAGATAAAGGATGCAAAGGATAAAGGATTCCTTATAAATTTATTTGGTCTGTTTGAAGCCATGAAGGCTTAATTCAGAGCAAAAGAGCTTTTGATATGCTGTAACTAATGGGATTAGATAGAAAACTCTATCTAATTTTATAGTTGTCTTCCAGTTCTTAAACTGCAAAAAATTATTCCAGTCATAAAATAAAGGATGATATAGCAATAGTCATTACAATCCAGATAATTTTCCAAATATTTTCAGAACTCTCTAAAACTTATTGGAAAGTCTATTCCTTTGAAAAAGGATTCCAATGGAAAGGAAGAATATCTAAGTTGTTTAAAACTTCTAAATGATAAGGAAAAAAAGATAACCAATATCAACAACAATTCATATTTTACCAGGTGGCTTGGATTCTAGCTTGGTGGCAGCCATACTTATCAAACTTATGAAAGAACAAAAAATTTCCTATCCCTTGCAAACATTTTCTATTGGGATGGAAGATAGCCCTGATGTGCTGGCTGCGAGAAAGGTACAGTGGTATTACCGGTTTAGCAGGGTTTCTTTTTTTTTTTTTTATGAAAACACTTTTTCTTACACCATCTGGAGAATAATAGGAGGCACAGAAATATTTTCTAGAAATTTAGCTTTCATGTTTGCATTTAAGCAAGGTTCTAGGCTGGTAAGTTAGAATGGATAGATTTGAACAAAATTTCACAGATCAAAGCAGTAAAATTGATTATTGGTAGATTCCAAGCAAGCAAAGAGAATACTTTGTCCTGAACTATATAATGAATTTATAGCATTTTCTGGCACAAGATAAATTGATTGCCTTGTATGTTATTATTGTTAGACTAATTCTCTGTGATCTCTATTGGGAACAATATTCCATTGAACACATGTTGTTGGCTAGCAACTAAAATAGAACATTAGCACATTCATGCCTTACTGTGACTTTCACAAAATGTTGATTGGCTAGCAATGGAAATTAGATGCTGAATAAGATAACTCTTCACCTTAGTCTTCTGTGTAATCCCCATTAGAGCAGTAGCATAATAGATTGAGAAAAATAAAACATATGAATTTGTAAAATATATTTTGCAGAATTCAACTTCTATTGACTGCATACTGGATGAAAATTCACTTTAACAAGTTTAATGTAAATGGTTGCTTTTAATAGGTAGCAGCTCACATTGGAAGTGAGCATCATGAGGTTATGTTTAGTTCTCAAGAAGGGATTCAGTCACTAGAAGAAGTAATACTTTCCTTGGAAACATATGACATCACAACAATACGAGCATCAGTGGGTAAGGCTTACAAATTATGGAAGTTGGTCTGTCGTCCTGCTCAGTCCTGCTTTTAATACAGGCATAAATTAAGTAGAATTTTAATCCTTCAATAGCTTCCATGTAGTAGCTTCCATATATTTTTTTCTGCCTAGCGTTGTATTTACTGATAATAGAGAAAAAAAGATTAAAAGAGGATGGAAAAATATTTTTTCTGAATAACCAACGAATGGTTTTAATGGAAACGTAGTACTATTTATGAAAATTATTAGGTTATCCTGCCTTTATGGTCATAAAATTTTCCATATCAGATCAGATAGATGCTCTTGTGAAAATTTACAATTTACTTGGTAGGCTCTATTTTGGCACATAGAAAGTCTCAAGTTACATGCCAGGCATTTCCAGTTACGATGAAAAGAATTCCTGTTTGAAATTCTAAACAGCTTCTTACATTCTGATAAAATGTAAGTATTGTGAGTATTATGGTCTAGTGTTTCAGGCAGCCTCTTAAGGCCCTTCACATTATTGTTATCTACGTATTGAAATTATAGATTCCCTTTCCTTTTTTATATTCTTACCTAAGTTAATACATCTCTGTATGCTTCCATTGAATGGAATCCAAATTTAAGTCTGGGGGGAAAGTGCCAGTCTTCCAGCTATCTAATAATGCTGAATGTGTGGATGTTGCTAGATGAGATAGGCTTAAGAGCTGTAGTGGTTAGAGTGCAGTATGCAGGGTAACTCTGCCCATAGTCCTTTCATCCTGACTGACTCAAAATTGAGTCAACCTTCCATCATTCAAGGTCAGTAAAATGGGGACCCAGACTACTGGGGGCAATATGCTGACTCTGTCAACCACTTATAGAGGATATAAAGCACTATGAAGTGGTATATAAGTCTAAATGCTATTGCTATTGCTAAATGTTAAATGTAGGTTCTCTGAAAACTGGAGAGAGGTGACACTATTCTATTAGAATTTCTTGTACATTATTTTCTTCATCAGGGTACTTTGATCGTATCATTGGTGGAGGTAGAGGGAGGAAGAATACCATAAAAAGGACTTGATGAGAAAGTTTATCTTTACCAGCCCAATTACATGTGCCTAAGTTTGCATGCATTACATCTATACACTACCAAAACTCTCATTGTGTTTATCTGTTTGTCTGTTTGTATCCTCAAGCTAGCTCAAATGGTGCATTATACTGCAAAGATTGTTGAATCAAGGTATCTAAACTTCTGTTAAGTTTAAAGAATAGATTTCTATATAACCTTTGTTGAATGGCTATGAAAAGAAATATGTCATGCAAGTTACTGTGAAAAGTACAACTGCATATAGGTCTTGTGTGAGATTAATAAACATTTTTGAGGGAAAATTGTTTCTCATTCTAGCCATGTATCTGGTCTCCAAATACATCCGAAAGAAAACAGATAGTGTGGTCATTTTCTCAGGAGAAGGATCAGATGAGTTGACTCAAGGATATATCTATTTTCATAAGGTAATGTAATCTTTCTTGCCAATCACCATAATAAGAGAATGCTTTTTAAAGTAATTTTACAGGTGCTAATATTTATAAACATAGCTGAATTTCATTTGCAAGCAGGAAGAAGTGAGCAACAAACTACTTTTTCCCACCCAAAGTTGAGAACTGAAAAGTACATGAAAGCCACCATTATCCGTTTTAAGATTTAGTTACAGATGCAGAAGTGGTTATACATTGATTTGACACGGGGTGAAATTCAACCACCTTGGCCTGGCTCGAAAGAGATGGTAGGGATGATTTGAATTGTTAAAAAATCGCCCTTGGTTGCTATTACTATTATACCAAGCCACACCCACAGAGCTGGTAGGGAAAAATTTTTAATTTCACCCCTGGTTTGGACCCTTCCCAATGCAGCAGCAGTGGATTACAAGTCATGTGCTACCAGTTGTAGGGGAGGGAGGGATCCCAGGTTATTGGAAAGCTCACATTTTCCTTCATGTCCCTCTGTTACTAGACATAACTATATAATTTGGGATCAAGAAGAGGGAGTCTTTTATAACAAATAAAATACTTATTCTATTCCAATTCAGCTCTATCATTAATGTTAATTATAATCTTTAATATCTTTAACATTTCTTTTCAATGGGATATCATACTTCCTTAGGAACACTTATAATATTTCCATAATTTTTTCATATTTTTTCATATTCCTCTTCACTTAAATTTTTATAACACATTAGTAATAATTAAAGTGTTCCCCTTCTTTCCTAATTTCATTCTCTCATTCTTATTTCATTTATTTATTAACAAACATTCCATTACATTGAGTACCGTATATACTCGAGTATATACAGTGAGTACCGTATATACTCGAGTATAAGCCGAGTTTTTCAGCACATTTTTTGTGCTGAAAAAAAACCCCTCGGCTTATACTCAAGTGAGATTCCCCTCTGAAAAAAAAATGGTGTGGAGCTCCGGAGCTGGGCAGCCGCTTCCCTGCTTCCATGTTTCCTTTGCAACTTGTAAGCATGGGGGTAATCGGAAGCAGAAAAGTTCTTGCATGAGGATATATTGTTTTTTCTTTTTTTAACTGTTTTAGGAGGGGGGGAAGACCCACCATCATGTGAGAATGCTCAGACACGAAATCTATCCGCCCAAAAATAAGTGTGTGTGTGTGTGGGGGGGATTTTAACAGAGGGAAGACGTAAGGAGAAGGCAAAAGCGACGGAAGATCCTTCAGGGGAAACTGAGGGGGAGACTCACCCTTGGTCCAGATGAGCCTCCTTCCCCGCCCCTAAGGAAGCAGAGGCAGCCAGCAAGGGCAGGCAAGCCCCACTTCGCGGACTCCGTCCGTCCTCGCTCCCACCCACCCACCCATCCAAAGCCACAAAGTCTCCCAATCGCGCAGCCCAGAATCGCCCTCCCCTCAGGGGGCAGCAACGACGCCCGGTGTTTCCCGAGACAAGAAGCTCCGCCGTGCAATGAAAGCGCCCTGGCTCTAGGCTCACGGGCTCAGAAAACAACGCGAGCCGAGGTGGCTTTGGCTCCGCTTGGCTTCGTTTCCTCAGCCCCAGCTGCTTTCAGTCCGCTCGGGAGGAGGGGGAGGAGGTGGTGGTGGTGGGTCGCGTTTTCTGAGCTCTAGGCTCGCAGGCTCAGAAAACAATGCGAGCCGAGGTCGCCACCACCTCCTCCTCCCGAGCGGACTGAAAGCAGCTGGGGATGAGGAAACGAAGCCAAGCAGAGCTGAAGCCACCTCGGCTCGCGTTGTTTTCTGAGCCCGCGAGCCTAGAGCCAGGGCGCTTTCATTGCACGGCGGAGCTTCTTGTCTCGGGAAACACCGGGCGTCGTTGCTGCCCCCTGAGGGGAGGGCGATTCTGGGCTGCGCGATTGGG